GAAATATATTCAAATTTAAATAAAATGAAAATTATGTTTTTAAGGCATTCATCTGGAAGTAATTACTTTATTAAGGATGAAACAAACATTTCATGGTATTCCCTACTGGATTTTTCGCGTTTTTAGTTATGTATAGAAAAAATGTAAAATAAACACAACCACTTATTGCGTATATTTAGCTTAGTTTTTGCTTTTTCTTTCAACATTCAACTCAAGCTGCCCTACCTTGTATTATAGTACCATGGAACGAATTTTCCTTTGTGTGTGTTTTTTTTTAATTTTTTTTCGTTTTAAATTACAATATTTTTGGCATTTAATTGTACTAACTGCTGTGCTGATGCGGCTACCTAATTAAACTATCCTTGGTAATTCCGAATTGCCTTGTGTAAACACAATTTAGACATAAATACGCGCAAAGAAATAAAAACAATCGATAAACCACACAAAGTACAATACATTCGATTATTGTTAATAATCGCTTCGACGACCTCAACACAGCAGCAATCGAAACTAGCAGTTTGCCATCACTACTTTAATAAAAACGACGACAACGCAAGCAAAGACAAGGAGCGTGAAATTGACGAGAAAAAAAGCAAATTTCTCCTTAGAAAAGCTACAAAATCCATTAAAAATAGTGAATTTTATGAAAATATCGTGTATATAATCTACAGTTTTTGTGTATTTGCGGAAAAATTGTCAAACGGAGGCTTGAAAAAGCCAGTGAAAACGGAAGAAATCTTTTTTTTAGAAAGTTCACATACAGCAGAAGGAAAAAAATTGATGAACTGAGACAGAAAAAAAAAACAAATATACATACGCACACACACAGAGACAGAACGACGAACGAATTGTGTATCGGAGTGGTAGAAATAAAAGGTGTACTAAAACAACAAAAAATAATAATTTAGTACAAGCCATTTTTGTTGGTTTCTCCTCTCGTCTCGACAGCGACGATGATGACAATTTATTGTTTGTTTTCGTTTTTTAAAGAAGATCCATCAAAACAAAACAGCAGCAGAACAGCATCAGCAACAACAAAAATTTTAGTTGTGAATGGCTTTTAAAGGTATAACGAAATGAAAAAACGAAAATATTTCATATAAATAATTTATATTTGTGTATAATATAATGGAAAAATTGTTTTGCAAAGTTCAATAAATTCTTGAAGGTCAGTGCAAAAAGTGTTAATCAATCACAAAAAAAAGAAATCAAGGTGTTACAAAAACAGTGTACAATACAAAAGTATAATGTAAAAAGCCGTTGTTGAACCACAACAACAAAAAAGAAGAAGCAGCCATCTTTTTAAAGGCAAATTACAAAAACAAAAGCAACAATAGGCAATTTTAAATCATAAAGCGATAACATAGTACAACACTGTTAACAACAGCATCAACCATAAAACAACAACAAATAAATAAAATCACACACTCTCTCTCCCTCTTCCATATCTGTGGTCTCTTTTGTTTTTTGCTTTTATTTTGTAAGATTATATTATGCCCTGCCCGCAGCACTCTTTTCCCTTAACAAATGAAAACAAAAATAAAATGAAATAATAAAAAAATCAGCTACCATATTTGTTATTGTTTTTATCGCAAAACAACACAACCACCACAATAATAATACTGATTATAATAATACTGCCTTCCCCTCCCCACCGCTCCTGGCATGTACCATCAATATTTTTTGTATCAATGTTGCGTATGTGCTGGAATATTTTTGGTACCTTTTTGTGATGGAAATAATACATATGGAATGCGCTAAAAGTAGTGAGTTGCTCGCATTAAAGCCTGTTTAATCCTGAGTCAAACAAATGCAATAATTCATGGTCTCAGTGAGTTGTCATTGTGTGTGTCTATATGAGCTGTTTGACTTTGCTGCATTAAACGGTTTTATTGTGATTTATTTTTGACATATGTATGAAAAATACGCGCCTTTTGAAATAAGAGAGCCTCTCAAATACCTTAATGAGCTACTCTCTGTGAGACACTGCATTAAACAGGGAACGGTTGTTGCATTTGTGCAAAGAGAAGAAGGAACTTTCTTTAAGAAGGAAATATGAAAAGATAATTCATAAAAAATATATAAAAATACCATTTTGTACATTTTGTATGTTATCAGCTGTCATATTTTCCATCACTGGTTGCCTGTTCTCCCCCTTTTATTATTACATTGTTGTTCATTCACACCAACGAACGAGTGAGCGAGAGAGAGTGTATACAGCGCACACACAAACACATACCGTGCAAAGGCAACGTCAAACGGGCTAGATTAAAGAAGAAGTTCACAACACACAAGAAAACGTCGTTTAAACGCGTATTTTAATAAACAAAATCTAAACCAACCACTTTTATTTCAATTTTTTAAAACGCAGTAAGGATTAAGGATCATCATGAAAACAAAACAATAGTGCTAAAAAATAAACAAAAAAACAATTATAAAGAATAAAATTCACTAAACTATTGGAGAGACTTGAAAACCCATCAATTTGTGTGAGAAGCCCCGCTAGTTTATATGTTATTAATTTCGTGAAAAAACAAAAACAATTGTGATAAAAAGCAAAGATAGAAAGAAACTAACGAACGAATAACTACATAGTGTACAAAATAAAGAAAAAGAAGAAGAAAAAAGGATAATTTGGAACGAAGTTAAAACATGGAAATTGCCTTAAATTCGGATACACCCGGAGGTTTCAAACATGAAAATGGTAAGTAAAATGTGTTGTTGTTTTTAATTAACCGACCATTTTTCTTTCCTACATATCTTTTTTTTATTTCTCTCTAATACAAAAAAAAAAACGGGGCGAAACATATGGTTGTGCGTTACTTAGGTGACCATCATAGTTCATCCGGGGGTCGCCGTCGTCGTCATAGTCAATTTGATGTAGTATTGAATAAAATTGTGTAAATTGTATATGTAAATATTGGAATTTAGTTTGCCTGTTGCCGCTGTTAAACGTGATATATTGGCTAGGTTGTACAACAACAACACAAGAAATTAATAAGTAATAGACGTGACCTCCTACCTAGACAGAGAGGGTAGACACATTTATTTTTTTCTTTCAATACATATGGAATCAAAAATATCATCCGGCTATTTGTCCACTATATGAAAGGCAAAGTGACTACAAAATACTCATCTGTTTTAAGGAACGTTAGAAATCTTGCAATCCTAAAAATAGTTGGAACATATGTTTCCCCATTATGTCTTCAATTGGAAATATGAAGCGATCATGGAATAACCCAGTTGGAAAATGATAAATTATGAAACGTTTGAGTTTGATGAGTCATTCTGAATTCTGAAAAAAAAATATTTGTCACAATTTTAAAATATTTTTGTTCAAATGTAGACCCAATCTGATGTTGGCCTGCAAGGCGCTTATCATGACATTATAACCTGTTGTCCGTACATTTCGGAATATAAAACAATAAATGATATCCTAACAAATAGAGGTCCAGGATTTGAAATTTTCCCCGAGTAAAGGTCCTTAAACGTATTTTTTATTTGAAGAGAAGATTTCGATGAGGAAAAAAATCTTCTGAAGATTTTTTAATTTTAGTTCCCTTTCATTTAGTGTATTTTAATTTAACGGTCCTAGGTCCTTGTGCTACAATAATAGCTTTTCTACCTAGAAGTAAATGGATTATATTTCGGTAATTAAAACGGCATTTACATTAGAACTTTTAGCAGGGTTAAGCCACTTTATGAGGATTTGTTTGACAAATAGGCAACGGAATTGACAATTGAAACCCACTGAATAAATAAATTAAATTAAATCCGGTACAATGTAAACGTACTATAATGCAAAATAATATGTCCTTTAATTTATTTCATATTTCAGATTGACTTTGCTACATTAAACGGTTTTATTGTGATTTATTTTTGGCATATGTATAAAAATACGCGTCTTTTGAATTAAGAGAGTCTCTCAAATGCTCTCAAGCTTGATCTCAGCGAGTTGACATTAAGTATTTGCCTAAATGAGCGCCTCTCTGTGTGACTCTGCTTTAAAACGTTCTATTATGTCTAATTTGACGTTTGAGGTAGTCGCGCGCGCTTTTACATTAGGGAACAGTTGTTGCATTTGTGCAAAGAGAAGCAGGAACTTTCTTATTTGTTGTTAGAATTAGATTTCAATTTTTCATTCAAAATAATATTTCATTTAATTTATTTCATATTCTATTCTATTCTAATTCCATGACTTTCTTTCCAGCTTTAGCCTCCAATAATGGACTAGCGCTCCTTGCATCACTTACGCTTAAAAATGCACTAAATATCAACAGCAACGACAATAATAATAACAACAACTATAAAAATAATAACACAAAACACAACACTATCACAGCAGCAGCATCATCACTACACCACCAACAACAGCCACAACATGGTTATATTTCCTCAACAACAGCCCCAGCAGCAACGACCTCAACGTCGTCTTCATCCTCATTGTTGTCGTCGTCGTCGTCAACATCATCAGCATTGGTTGTTGTGGCATCAAATTCAACAACAACAACCAATCAATTGCAATTCCAACAGCAGCAATCATCAGGACAGACGCCACAACAGATACAAGAACTTAATCTATTTACATTCAACGGACTACAACAACAGCAGCGTAGTGTAGTTGGTGCAGCGCCGGCCAGCATTACCACAACCACCAGAACAACTTTAAATGGACCTGATCATCATCATCATCAATTACAACAACAGACTTCGGCCTCGGCCGTCTTATCCTCTGTCGCCTCCTCCTCGACTTCAGCCACCGTAAATAATTCTTCCTCGACATCAACGAATCATCATTATCAAACTAATAACACCACCTCTAGTGCAAAGGATCCTACCACAGCTTTAATTGAAGCCTTATCTATAAAACCAACAGGAACAACAACAAAGAAACAAAATCAGCAACAGGCCACACCTTCATCATTAACTTCAGTGACCACATCATCAGCAGCTGTGGGAAATAATGGCGGTGGTGGCAATGGAACAGGAGGTGCTGGCGGTGGCGCCAATGGTAATGGCAGCAAAAATAATTTTAAAATTCCGTCCGATATACTCGATGATTTGGCCAGTCGTTTCATTATCAACGTACCCGATATGGAGCTAAGCAATATGATTCGTATATGCTTTCAAATCGAATTGGCCCATTGGTTTTATTTGGATTTCTTTTGTGCATCGGAAGAGGATAATAAACTCCAAACTTGTGGTATTAAAACATTTGCTATGCAATTATTTCAGGTAAGCCACACAAAAAGTGATATTTTAAAAGTCGTAATGACTTCAGTAATTTGTTATTCTTTTCCCTTACAGCATATACCATTCCTACAACAACATTTATCTTCGATAGATAAAATCTTGGAAGATTGGAAAAATTACAAATTATCCGTGCCAACATTTGGGGCTATACTTATATCGGAGGATCTCAACTATTGCCTATTAGTGCAATCATATTTTGCCAAAAGTTCATGGGGTTTCCCAAAGGGAAAGGTTAATGAAAATGAAGACCCGGTACACTGTGCCACCAGAGAGGTAAATATTTATTTTTTTGTTTTGATTTACTGACATTAATATGCTTTGCTTTTCTCGACAGGTTTTTGAAGAAACTGGTTACGATATCACCGAACTTATTGTACCAAATGATTACATTGAAGCTGTTATTAATTATCAATACACTCGTCTGTATATTGTGCGTGATGTTTCGTTGGAAACGAAATTCTCACCGCGCACCCGTAATGAGATTAAATGCTGTGATTGGTTTCCCATTGATTCATTGCCTGTTAATCGTAATGATGCCATATCAAAAGCCAAATTAGGCATTAATGCCAATTCCTTTTTTATGATAATACCGTTTGTGAAGCGTTTAAAGAAATGGGTTAATGATAAACGCAATGGTGTTGATACGCGTCGTCGTAAATACTCCGGAGGCGGTAATGGTGGTAATAATGGTTCACCCACATCCACCTCCCCATTGACCACATTCAATAATAATCACAACAACAATGGTCTGCCACAACAACAAACCAAATCTAGTTGTAAAAAATCCAAGCATTTGCAACAGCGGAATAATAATATAAATACTAATAATAATAATGATGATAAAAATGCCTTAAACGGTGGTGCTTTGGCTGCATCATCCACATCCTGCAATGGGAATACATGTTCCAATAATAATAACAATAACAACAACAATTCAAATTCAAATCGTTCTAAAAGACAACGCCATAAATCCATGGGTGATTTGGATGGTATTAAATTAAATAATAATTTTAACTGTAATAATAATAATATAAATAATAACAACAACAATATCTGTAATAATAATCAAAGTAATTGTAAGACATTAAACAACAGCAACAATAACTGTGGTTCTACTATAACAAATCAACAACAACAATCATCATCAAATTTATCAACGACAAACTCCACAACTAGTGGTGTTAATATAAATAACCAAAACAACAGCAACAACAACAATAACAGCAATCAAAAACGGCATTCAAAAATTGTTGCTGCTGGCAGCAATGTTTCCAACAACAATGGTTGCAATAATAACAACAATAATGCCAATAATTCTTCAACATCTTCATCATCGTCAAAGCGTCAATTGTTTCACAGCCAAAGTCATTGCAGCAATTTACATCAGCAAAATGGTGAAAAGGTAAGTAGAAATGGGGTTTTGTAGCCCTCTCTTTTATTATTTATTTTTTTCTACTCTTCCAGATTATCAGCTCATTTGATTTGATACGCAAAGAAAAACAACAAATGAAAGCAGCTATGGCAAAATCTCAAAAACAACAGCAGAACAATTTAAATGGACGTCAAAGGGCCAAATCCCAAAGTGATAAGATGTGTATGCAACAAAATTATCAACAGCAACAACAATCGAATCATAAAAATACAAATGTAAATAATGCCGTTAATCCAAACAAACAGCAACAGCAACTGCAACAGATGTTGATGCAACAAGAACAGCAACAACCACCACCACAACGTTTATTAAAACAACAATCAATGATTGTTACCAATTCCACAATGATGCTGAGTACAAATAGTAATCACAACAACAACAATCATCATCATCATAATAACAATAAAATGAATGTAAATACAACACATAACAACAACAATAACAGCAGTAACGGTGGTTATCAACGTGGTACCCCAACGCCACCACCATTAAGTGGCAATGATTTGTTGGCATTAGCCGCTGCAGCAGCTGCCAATGGTTTTATCAACAATAGCACCACAGCAATATTACAGCAACAGAACAACAACAGCAACAAGAAGGTCATCAACAATGGTGGCGGTGGCTCTGGTGTACAATTGAAGCCACGTCCTTCATCAGTATCATTGCATTTCCCTGAAATGGTCTCATTGAAACGAGAAAATTCTGATTTGCATACAATGCAACAACAACAACAGCCACAGCTGCAACGCATGGCATCTGGTACAAATTTACGTATACTAAGACGTTCAACATCTCATCAGCCGCAACAGCAGCAGCAACAACAAAGGCAGTCTTTTACGCCAAGTTTTAATTCATGGACTAATTTTACATTTACCAAAAATTTTATGGCCAATGTTTTTTGTTAAATGTAGTTAGTAGTTCGTTGCAACACCAACTATATTTTGATTAGTTTGTTTTTTCTCATTCATGGGAAAAAACTATTCAAGGAAATTCACCATCATAATAATGATGAATTTCCAACACAAATTGGACGCTTTGAGGTGATTTCTTTTTTTTATTATTTTATTATTGTTTTCATTTTCGGTTTTTAATGAATGGATAATTTTGGTAATTGTTTTTATGTTTTATTTTCCTGAAATTTTAAACTCCCCTTTTTTTAATTTTTATTTTTTTACCAAAAATATCCAATTTTTTATTTTTTTGTTTTTTATTATTATTTTTTTTTTTTCTTTTGACAAAATTGAATTATAACATTGTTTTTAAAACTACAATTCCACATCAATCATCCGCCTTTCAAAAAACAGAAATTGCTCAAACTACTTAAAAAGCTTTTTAGACGTATATTATATTTTCTGCAATTTTTTTAATTCTCTCCCTCCTTTTTTGGTTTCCTTATTTTATTTTTTGTATGCTTATCCACAATATTTTCAGTTAAAAAACAAAACTTTGTGTATGTAAAGATATATTTTATTTCTTTCATGTACGTTTTTTTGGATTTTAATATTTTTTGTGATTTGATTTTTTTAAAAAAACAAAACAATTTTTTTTTAAGTTTACACAACTTTTTATTATTATTTTGCATGATGTATTTTTTTAGTTTCCCTTCTTCTCCCAAAAATACAAATTGTTATATTCCCACAATAATAAGAAGAGTATCATCAAAAAGGAAATGAAACATTCGCAAGTTTCTTTGGAACAGAAAAGAGAGTAGTTTTTTTTAGATTTTCTAAATATAAATCCAAACACCACACAGTCATATTTAACTGCCTTTTTTAAGATATGGTTAAAAAGTTTTTATTCTTTTATAGGTAATATATTTAAATATTAGCATTAAAAAATCATAGTTTTTTAATATTAAGAGAAAAAACATTATTTTTCTTTTGTATATAAACCAAAATAGAGAGAGGACACCCATATCATTGGGAGGTTCTCCTTTTCCCGAAAAATTTATTTTAAAAAAGAGTTTTAATTTTTGGTTCGAATCTTGGTTTTTTTTTCTCTCGTTCTCTCCGTTCCCTGCATTACTGTGTTTTATTTCACCCCTTGATGATATCTCTTTTCGTTTTGGGAAAATTACAAATTGTTAAATTTTCTTCTTTTTTTTGTGAAAATTCTCTTTGAAACCATTTTTGTTTTAGAAAAAATTCAAAGGGAATTTTGTAATAAAACAAATTTGAATTATAAATAATAAAAAACAACAACCCTACCCCTCAACATTGGGACAAATTACAAAAAAAAAAAATCCATCAATTTATATTTGTTCTTCTACAAGTGGTTGAAAATGAAGAAGAAATTTTGAAAACAGAATAATTTTTGTTTTCTATTTTTCTACTAAATCTTTTGGAAATGTATTTAAAAAAACACATTTAATGAAATTTAAATCAACATACCTTATTTATGAAATTCCAAAAACATTCACAACTAAAATTATACTACCAAAACTCTAATGTCTTCCTCTTCAAATAAAAAAAAATTAAAAATTAAAAACACAAATATTGAATTGTTGTATTCAAATCTGTGGTACAATTTTCGAATATTGTTAAATTTCCTTAAATGTGTTTTTTTTTAAATACATTTCCTTCTACCCAACAAATCCCTTTTTCTAAATAAATGATTTAATAAAAAACAAAGCCTGGAAAAAGGGACCCATCCTATATAGAAATAAGACAAACTGCTATTCTCAACAAAACAAAAAAATCAGATGTATTTTTGTTTTTCATCTTCAAAACAATTTTTTTTTAATTTTAAAAATTAATTTAAAAAATATAATTTTTACAGAAAAAGTTTACCAAGGCCACTACTATTTGTCTTTTAGCAAATCCGACATCTGAAATAGATCGGCCGAACATCGGCCGTGAAAAAATTATAAATTTGGCAGCTAATCTCTCTCTCCCTCTCTAAAATCTCAAATAACACAAATTCGATTTTTTGTTCCGTTTTCAAAATTTCGTTTAAAAAAAAAAACAAATGCAACTGAATTGTTGTTTTGTTGAGAATTGTAATTACTTATTAAGGCTTTTATCATGTTTGATTTTATATAAAGGAGTTTTTGAAAGTCCCCTTTTTATAAATAAATTGCAAAAAATGAAAAACAAATTCCAACATGTTTTTCTATTTGTAATGAACAACAACAAAGATGAGATACAATAAAACATCAAGAATCATCATCTGAAACTAAAAATTTATTAAGATTAAGGGTTTTGACATTTGATTTGAAAATTTGTGTCAAAATCTTTAATCTTAATAAAGCTAATGGATATTTTATTTGAATTTTATGAAATCTTGAAAAACAAGTGGTGAAGATAAAATGTGTAAAAACCCAAATGTTATGGTAATGGTAGTGAAAGTAAAAAAAAATCCAAACTCAAAAAATTTTTTTCTCACCTAAAAAATTTTTTCAGACCAAAAAAAAAATGTTTTTCAAATAAAAAATTTTGTATCGAATACATTTCCATGCCTATATAGAAGCAAAAACAAATTGCTTTTAAAAGTTTTTTTTTTTTATTAAAAAAACTTAAAAGTTATCTATATTGATAAACTTTTTTAACCTCACTTTTTGGCAAAAATCGAATATATGATTCTTAAAATATAAATTTGAAAATCATGGCCTTCGATTGTCAGGGGAAAAATTGGATTTTTGGGAAAAAATATTTTTTTTAATCCATTTTTTTAAATCGATGTTCTATTATCTTTGTCAAAATACCCAAAATATTTTTAAAAAAATGTTTTCTTGGAAAAATTGAATTTTTGGGATTTTTTTAAATCCATTGTTTCCATTGAATCATATTTTCTTTCGAGTCTCCTGTTAAATTTAAAAAAATAGCTTTCAAATTATTTCATATGCTTCAATCAGGTACAAAAGGATCGATCGTATTTCACCTCACATTTTGATAAAAATTTATTTTTTTAATATCAAGAGTACTGTATTTTTTTTTTGGTTTGGAATCTGTTAATAAATTTTAAAAATACTTTTTAGCTTCAAAAATTCCCTAATATCGATCGGATGTAACCTCACTTTTTTGGACAAATTTGGATTTTTTAAAAAAATGTGAATTTTTCGACGATTTTTTTTATTACAAAAGTGTACTTCGAATATCAAAATACACATAATAAAAAAATTGTTATTCGAATTTTTTTTTGGTAACCTAACCTTTATTTTTTTAGTAAAGGTTGGAATTTTTTTCCACCAACAATTATAATTTAATATGAACATTGTTTTTCCACATTTTATCTTCACTACTTTCACATAAATTCAAAATACACAAAATCTTGCTAAAAAATTGTTAATACTTTTTTGTAAAAAAAAACTCTTAAATATTCCATCCTTACGAAGTTCACAAGATTTTAGCAGGTTTTTGTAAATAAAAAAATTATATATATACATATTGAAAGAAATATATGAATGAATGAAAAAAAATGGTTTTCTACAACAACACAAAAATTGTTTTGGTCAATTAAAAGCGAAAACAAAACCCGCCCAAGAAAAAAGGACAAATAACAGCTACTATTACAACAGACCCGTCGTATAGTGTTTAAAGAAAAAAACAAGCAAAAAAAATAAATAAATTTTTGGAAAATTGACCTTTGAATGTTGAAATGTTTGTAATTATTCTTAATTGTAAAAATTCTTTTTCGATACAATTTCTTTTTTTTTTTGGCAAAGTGCAAAATAAAATCTTTTTTTCGAATGACAATATCAGCAATAATTTGAAAATATAAAATAGAATGAATTATTATAATTATTTTTCTAGGAAGATGGATCTGTAACAGATCATTTATTTCATTTAACAACAAACAAAACTGAATTAAAAGAAAAAAAAAGAAAATAACTATTTACAAACTAAAGCTTTTTAAGTTATTTTTTTCTGGCTGGCTAAACGAAATTAATAAAACATTTTTTATGCAGAAACATATCAAAAAATCATTAATACAAAATTAAAAAAAAAAACGAATATCAATTCAAAACCAAAAAATTCAATTATCAAAATAAAACATATATCCAGCCATAAAAATAATAATTAAAAAGCTTTCGTATCGTTTTTTTTATAAATTTGATGAAGTTGTTCTCAAATTATGTTAAACATTTAGAATATAAAAAAAGAATTTAAACGAATTTCTATTGTTTAAGTATTTTTTCTGTGCATTTGTTTTATGTATTATTACAACAACAACATGACAACTTACATTAAAAAATAATAGTAATGAATGCCAACATCAACCACCACCCAAACAACAGATACAAAAAAAAAAAAAAAAAAAAACCACCCAACCACAAAACAATTTTTTATTAAATATCTAAGATATATAATTTCATTCTTATTTAAATATATATATTAACAATAGGACAACATGTGTTACCTTTTACTTATTTTTTATTTAAAAAAACAATATCATTTCTTTTAAATTTTTATAATTTTTTTTGTGTTAAAAACAAAAACAAAAAATTAAATAGTAGCACGAAGTATACGAAAATAAATTGGCTGGTTCAAAAGAGTATAAAACAACCTTATTTGGCATGTAAAAAACACCAACAACACAAAAAAACAATAAAAAATAAATAATGTACATTATTTTGAATTTAAAATATTACTTCTAAATATATATTTTTTTAATTTTCTCCTCGGATACAACTTCTTTTTTATTATCACCTAAGTTCCACATTTTTTTATGAAAAACTACTGTGTTATTATTGTAAAATCAAATTAAAAAAAATTGGACTTTATTTTGTACTTTTGAACCAAAATTCTATCTATATTGTAGACCATCCAGAAAAATGTAATGCGAAATGTGAATGCAAACAAAAAAGAATAATTAGAAAAAAAAAGACAAAGAATAAGAAAAAGAAGGCAAATAAAAACAGTAAAGAAAACTACAAAAACACCAAAACAAACAGCAAACAAAAAAATTGTGTTTTA